TATATAACTTTTTACTGTTTTACTTTGTAAAAAATGGTGGGATGTTGTTTGAATTCGTTAATAATAGAATTTTTGCATAAGCTACATTTTTGTTTTTACTGTTTTTTAGATTTCACTTTCTAACTAATTATATTGAGATGCACAAATTCTTATTCAATTTCCGTTGCTTATCATGCTTGGACATTCTGATGCTCCAATCCCATTCATGATTTCCTTTTATCACATAAACAAACAACAGAAAGATTTAACTTCCAGTTCTATATAAGGGGGTACTTTCAAGGAATGACATTACAATGACTATTTTTTATTAACGCAAATCAATGGCATCTATGTTATGAACTTACGATAAGATTGTTTACTACCAACTGCCACTAATATTTTCTTTAAGACGAAAACATCTTTCCATTTTTCCTTGAATATATAGGCTTTAATCAGGATTTCATGATGGTGGAGCCTATTGTTATTATGTTATGAAAAACTGCAATAAAGTCCTTAATTATTAACCTTATAATCGATTTAGTCTTTATATCTTTTTTTTTATTCAATTAAGTCCCAAAAACCGGTAATCGTATTCAATTTAATCATTTTATCGGGTCAACAGGTTATCCAACTTTCAAAAATTACATTTTTGGCCCAGATTTCAAAATTTGTTACAAATTTGGTCCAAAATTTACACTTTTGGCCTAGATTTTAAATTTTATTACAAATTTGGTCCAAAATTTACCCTTTTGACCCAAATTTTAGAGTTTTGTTATGAATTCATCATAACTTAGTTGTTTTTCCAACTTTTTTCTCAAAATTTTATTTTCAATATGTTTTTTCTTTATAAATCATATTTATACAAAAAAAACATATTTTCACATAAAAAATCTTATATTTTCTATATAATATTTTTTAAAAAAAAACAAAATTTGTATACGAAATACCTATCTATAAAAATAGGTATTTATTACGTACATAAATATATATAAATCCGTTTTTATAAATATATATATATATATATATATATATATATATATATA